AGCAGCTAGAACAAAAAAATTTTCACTGTTAAATAGGGCATTGTTTACACTATATATACCGCTATTCAAAACAGAAAATTTCGTACCTACGATTTTTTCAGAAAATGCCGCCTAAATGCCCACTGTGCATAGTTCATATGATTAAAAAAAACATTAATCACGAGTGTGAACGACTACTACTTGGTTGTTGTGTGTTGCTTATCGTTTATCATGCTTTTGGCTTCTCGTTTTGTTGCTGCAATTGCTGTTGGTAACGTTGGTTTTAAATTTGCTGGCGTTGGTGAAGGACGGGCAGGATTGGTTTTTTGGTGTGACTGTGATATTGTGCCATTAGGAATCCTTGGTGATGAACCTGGTGTACCTAGTGGTGGAGCTGCTGAATCCGGCGCATATTTTACCAGCGACATTTGATCGACGAGTTTATCATACGATGGGTTCACCAGTGTGTTAATTTCATTGATAGTTTAATTTTATCATTCTTTAAATCAACTATCTGTGTATTTGAGCGACGATAACTTTCTATGTTCATATCAATAGCTGCCAAATATTGATTAAATATAATTGATTATTTTGAGGGTGCGTAACATATACTGTTGAATCTGTTAAATACAAATCAATATCATCAACGTTAAAAAACGACTCATATTGTCGTATGATCATTGTTGTATAATAGATGGCCGAATTAACAATAGTTTCTTCAATAAAAAATTGTCGTTAATCATTATTTTGCGGAGTAAAGAAGTGTGCTTCAGTTAATTGTTCAATTACTAAATACAATTTTTTATCAGCTACACCGGCATCAAAACTACCATGTTTCTGTAAATATTGTTGAGCAATAAAACCTGCCATTTCAAGATGTTGTATCTGCGTAACATGGCGATAGACGTGATTTCTGGCTTTTAACAAATGGGTTTTCAACCAGTCATCATAATCAGTTTTACGTGCTAGAAAAGCAGAAGAATAATTGACAGTAAATACATTTCCTATAGTCTTATTTTTTTAGGTAGACATAGTTAAACTGTGAGATTCTATTGGAAGTGACAATATCGCTTGTGCTTGCTCTAGTATTACATTCGCTGTTAAAACACAGGCCTTCTTACTCATACGGCGGCTTCTTCAAAATACAGGTGAGTATCATCAATTAATAATAAAATCATCACAAACTGCTTCATTGATGAAAATTTTGAATGATCAAGCAATACAACATCATCTGATTTAAAGTTGCTTTGTACTTTAACAAAATTAATAATAAATCGTTCAAGAAGTGGACATGCTTCGTTACCATTGACTTTGGACAACAACATTTTCTTCGAAGACTGACCGGTGATGCTCCTACAACAGAATGATAGACATAAGGTTTATGCTTTAGCTTAATAATTTGTAGAAGTCATAGTAAAAATATTGAACATTGCACTTTACCTGTATGGTGCTATTTTTTCCAACTCCTTAATTGGAAGTGTAAAAATTTCTTTATTTTAAAAATTAATTTTTCTTACCGAAAAATGTCAGCTTTGAATTGAATAGTATGTTGTCTTCTTCTAATTTCTTAACATAGACCGAAACACTATTGAACATTTGCATCATCAACGCTGAACAATCATAAGTCATGGCATTTGTTCTTGATGTTTGGTCATCGAATATACAATTATCAATTAACAGCTTATCAGCTTCATCTAACAGTGCATATGCAGGTTCTTCTTGTACAGATTTCAACAAACTTGCTGCTGTGAAGAAATCTATGATTGGATAGTTTATTCCATATTCTTTTAAAATTTTCAATTTTTCATCATTCGATACTGCTGCGGCAAATCTTTGGACTGGATCAACTTTATCTTTCTTATTTTTACTTGTACCAAATGCTTCAATTAATTTTTTTCGTCGTCTGCCAGATATTAATTGAGTATTAAACATTTCCTTGTATGTTACACCAGCTTTTGAACTAACACATTCAACATTAAGAATACCGACACGTTATGATTCGATGATTGGAGTTTTTCCAGCAGCTGAAATATAAAAAGATATGATACCGTTTTATTATTACGAATATTATCTTACTCAGCATTAATAGTATTTCTACAATGCTTATTATTGACATTTCATTCGGGTGCAAAGGGTTAAAAATAGACTGTGTTGAGTATCTACGCTGCAGTTAAATTATGACTAGTTGTATTAAATGCCTTTCCATACGAGAAAAAATCTGTTTTCTCATGGGAATAAAATCAAAGAGCTATCGGCCATTCCGCGTAATGTGTCTGTGGATCCATTTTTATTGATCTTTTAATATTTGAATGAGAGAACGTGAAGAGTTGAAAGATTTTGTAGCTAAGAGTGCACTCGTCAAAATCTGATCGAGATTCATTTCAAAGTATGTGATTTTCTGCTATAGTGACTAAACAATTTAAACTTAAAGTTGCTTTAAAAAGATTAAAACTGACATTTCTGCGTAACTTGTTCTATTTGGGCCGACAACTCCTATATTGAAGTAGTAAAAATGTTGTCAAATGATACATTTTTTTCCACTGTAGACAGCGGTGTAAACGGTTTAAATGAAAATGAATGCAAGTCAAATAGTTCAAGGTATATTTTCCAGAATTACCAACGATGAGTAGAATCTTAGTCCAGTATCGGCTGTTTTCGAAACCTTACAGCTTTGTTGAGGCTGTTTTCAAAAGAGAATGTGTCTCCCGCGTGGTATAGTGGTTAGGATTTGACGCTCTCACCGTCCAGGCTCGGGTTCGATCCCCGGCACAGGAGCATTTTTTTGTATTGTTTTCCGTTCATCTTTCGTCTCCTGGGATAATCTTCAAAGGCCTTACAATCGATCTGATAGTTGTCGCACCACCGACTACTGGGACTGCACCAAACTAGCGAACATGCCTTTTAAAAGAAAATTAACCACTCTCGATCTTAATTTCGAAAAAAAATGTTGACAGTTTTCGTTTCTTTAATATATTCAGGAGTAAAGATTTAGTTTAACCTAAATGTAGAATTCGGAAATAGTGCTTATCGGACAATCGTAGTTCATTTTCGAGAGAAATTCGCGTAAGCCATCTCGATCATCCATAGCGAATTCACTATAGATACTTCGTTGTGATTGCGATTGAGAATTTAAGACCGTTGAAAGAGTGTGTACTATATCGTCCTCAAGTCATTGACAGTGTTGAAGACTACTGCATGAAACTATTCCAATAAGCTGGCCAAAAAATAACTTTATCTGATGTTAGCGATTTCGGAATAAATTTCTTAGTATGTGTTTTTCCAATGTTCAGCTTAATTCTGAAAATGCTCTTTCAGGACAACACTGATCAAGACAAGTAATTATTCCAATGTCTAAAGTTTGAAAAATAACACTTTCGTTTTATGTCCGTCTGATTGCCCACTATGCAGCATTAAAATTATTATTCATAGTTGCTGCTTTTACAGATCGTGTACAAGATTTAAGGATAAATTGCTTATATCAACCGTAAATTTTAACGAAATGGCTATTGCCACTCGCTGAGGGTGTCAATCATAGAGTCCCTCGATTCAAAAGCTGACCTTTGTCGAAACAACGAATCAGCTCTGAGGAGGTCATGAAAAACACTCTGTGCGTGTCTCCCAAAACACTAGGTTAAATATTTATTATATATTATAGAAAACCCAAAACGGCAACTAATGGCGATTACTCACGAGGGAACATTTTTTGGTGAACTCTTCCGATTTCGTTCGTTCATACGTCATTCGATAGAGGGTTGGAACAGGTAAGAAGCTTAAATGGATATGGGTCCATGACTCTTTCCTCAAAAGTTACAGCCATTTTTTTAGTTTTCCTAGCGAAAACTAGCAGAAGTATAAAAATTCAGAACTCCGCCTAGAAAGATCGTAGCAAGCTGAGATCTTTTTTCGTAGTCACGCTAGAAGTCTGCTAGATACCCTGAAAATTTCAGCTTTCTGTCGCTCGTCCTTCCTGAGTTATGAAATCCCAAACTGCAGAAAATCAAGGTCTCACTTTACTCGCATTTTGAAGAGAATATCCCGGGCTATCAGTTCCTGAAAATAAAGCAATATAATCCTATTGGAAAATTTTTACAGGCGGCCTAGTTTTTCAAAGATCTACTAGAAAACCTGTTTCAGGAAACTCTTCTGAAAATAATTTTGATTATGGAAACATGGCTCCAAGTCTTCTCTTTCGAATGGCGAAAACCGGAGCTCTCTAGCTCATTTCTAGCTAAAGTTATTATTGAATGAATAGCACGTGTCCGCCTGCTTTAGGCAAAGTTGTCCGCTGTGTGCTGTATATATCCTGACGTTCTTTTTCACTTATTAGCTAAAATAAAGTGAACAGAATTTTAAGTCTTACACAGTACAAATAAAAGAGCCTAATGATTACCAAAAGTTTTTTTGTAACAGGATGAAGAAATGTGGCGATGTAATGTAAAGGCGCAGCTAGCCACATTTTAACCTCTAGTTTTCCTAAACGCTTTTCTTTGGTTGAACAATGTACAGACGGGCGAGCCATTATCAAAAATGTCTTCAATGGTGATCCTCTATCATGATTTAATATAGGATGAAGAAAACGCGACTAAACTCCTGACAACTCTCTGACAATGGAACGGTTTGTACTGTCAAGCCGCTCTCAAGTTCGGAGCATGTGTATTAGATAGATCCCGGTGAGGTATAAAAAAACCCAAAAGGCTATGTGCTGATGGGCCTTCCCTCCAGAGTTACAGTCATCACGAAGGAGGACAGGACCCATTGATGTAAATTCTTTTGTTTGTGATGGCTGTTGGTTTTTTTATAGGGCAGATATTAGTCTGACATAAGTAGAGCAATTTGGAGAATCCTAGGCTCACAGTATCCATGTACATGGACTTGTGCAAATAGCTGGAACAAAAAACAATAACGGTTACTGTGACAAAACAACGCTTGAAAATACTTATCTGAAGTGATGCTCTGCTCAAATAAAGTGATTAAAACATAGACTCGCATAGTATGCATAGCTTGCAAAAACAACAAGCCTTACTATGACACAATTCTTTTTACTATCAGAGATCTTTTCATACGCCAAACGTAATTAATTCATGGTGTAGTCTAAAAGTTTGTTAGAAATTCGAGACATTGTCAACGACTTGATGACGATGCCGAGATCAGAGACAATATGATGCCCAATATTATATATTTTCGCCCACCGGAAACCGGTGTTTACCAAATGTTTCGAAATTCCGATGCAATAATCTCTATTATTTGCCATTGGATGAAGGTGACGATCAGATGTCATAGTCTGAATCTTTTTCTGATTTCTTATTTTGCTTTTCAGAATTTTTATTGGTAAAATAAATGAAAAGAGAAAAAAATCTAGTTGATCGAATCGACAGGAAAGGATGAGAATACTGCGTGAGAAGTAAGCAGTGACAGACGGTGAAGCGAAGAGGGGAGAAAAAGAAAAAGAAAATAGTGATTATAAAGTAAAAGAGCCAGCGGTTTAGGGCGATAATTAAGTCATCCTCTGAAAAATTTTCCAGTTATGTGATGAATAACACCATTCATGATGATCTTATCATCCGAGAAACAGCACATACGTAGTTCGCAGCCTTTCATAAAAATGCCGCTAACACAGATTAAAACAGTAAGACAATAAAATGCTTGGTAATACCGGATGATAAATATAATAACAACCGAAATATAAGAAAAAGTTTCACGCTGATAACAAAAACATTTCTCATCCCTTTAACTGTACGTCCAGTTTAAACTCATATCCAAAAGTATGCATCAAAAAAGAGTTTTACTCTCCCAACACCATAACGTCCAAAACGGCATCTCCATTTTCCATCATCAATTGCAACAGGGACCAATATAATCACCAGGATAATTTCGACCAGAATAATAATAAGCACAACAACCGTAATAATTATTACAACCGATGGTAAGCCCACAACAACCACCTCTAACACAACTACACGATGAACAGTATGCAACTACAAGAAAGGAGGCATGCTTTAACTCGTGGCAAAAAATAAATTCATAAGTTTAGTAGATACTTCTATTTCATGCAGCACTGCTATTTACGATTTTTTTCGGCATATTAAGAGATTTCCCAAATTTTAATGTAATGACTACAGTCGAAACTGAATTTAGACTCGACTTCGTGTAGACATGGTTGCTCACGCCAGAGTTGGAACCGAATCGATACGTCCGATTAAACTTTGCAATCGGCCGTTTTTCACCGTTTTCTTACCGATTTATCTGGGTTTTGCTTCTTTTCGAATCACGTCTTCAGCAAAAAACGTTCAAAAACTTTCAAAAAACAGACTTTTACTTTCCCCTATTAACACCTATAATTTTAAGGTTTTGAAGGAAATCGAGCTATGTATTACATGTAATTAGGCGTATACATGTATTTATGCACATATAGTAATCAGATTCGACTTACTCATTTTTCCTGAATTTTTTCTGCTTTGTCCACAAATAGTATAAAGAAATACATCCGTCAGATCTGTTCGTGCTGTGAAAGTGTGTATAGGAGTATCTTATAGACTCTTTATTCTCATTGTCATATTTGAACGTCAAAGGCATCTCCATCAGACAAAATAGAGCAAAGTGACCAAAAATTTAATTAATTAGACTATGCATATCTGACAGTGCTGACCAAAAAGAAGCCAGAGATAATGTGCTAAACAGACAACGACTGGTAATCATTTTCTTCGTTAGTATAATGAGATATATGTAGTCTAGCTAATTAAATTTTTGTTCACTTTGTTCTACTTTGTCTAACGAACAAGTCACTGTCTTATTTATGCATGAATTTCACGCAGTGTGAACCACACCTAACTTTCATGCACAACCAATTTCAAGATAAAACATCCTTCAAAAAGCACCATAAAAACTGAAACAGCAAACGAGTTGACAGTGTAGATCCGAGCATCATCCATTTCCAAAACAACCGAAAACACTCAACCTACCCGTTTGACACACGCTTCCACTATAGTGGGCAGGACACGCACAAGTATTGGGAGCTAGAAACAGCATAGAAAACACGTGTGACTAAACATTTTACACAGCAAAAACTGTCTTGAATCAACATTACCTGTACAAGTGCCACCATTCTGGCATGAACTTGTGCAAATAGCTGCAACCAAAAACAACAGTTGTTACTATGGCATAACAACGGGTGAGGGGCACAAACTTGCGACCTCGCCTTCGTAAACAGAAGAAAACAGTTCACTTACGTGATTGACATAGACTTCCACTGTATTGGCTGGTGCATGTGCAAGTGTTCGGAGCTAGAAACAGCATAGAAAAGACGTGTGACTAAACATTTTACACAGCAAAAAACTGTCCTTGAATCAACATTACCTGTACAAGCGCCACCATTCTGGCATGAACTTGTGCAAATAGCTGCAACCAAAAACAACAGTTGTTACTATGGCATAACCACGGGTGAGGGGCACAAATTTGCGACCCCGCCTTTGTAAACAGAAGAAAACAGTTCACTTACGTGATTGACATAGACTTCCACTGTATTGGCTGGTGCATGTGCAAGTGTTCGGAGCTAGAAACAGCATAGAAAAGACGTGTGACTAAACATTTTACACAGCAGAAACTGTGCTTGAATCAATACCTGTACACGTGCCACCATTCTGGCATGAACTTGTGCAAATAGCTGCAACCAAAAACAACAGTTGTTACTACGACATAACAAAGAATGAGGAGCATGAATGTCTTTAGCGTGAGACATCTCTCTAGATTCCAGCCGTACTTAATTCATGCAGTAGCCCCACAGACGCTTTTAACGAATGTGCGGTATAACACTAACCGTTTTATCCCACAGTCAACTGAATTTTAGCAAATGTTTTCGAAATGCCGATCAGATGAAATGATGCTGTGTACGAAATGATTAACCCAGACTCTACTGCAAGTATGCCTTTTCCTTCGTAAACAACAGAACATAGTAGACGTACGCGATTGACATAGACTTCCATTGTATTGGCTAGTGCATGTACAAGTATTCGGAGCTAAAAATAGCACAGAAAAAGAGTGTGACGTCACATTTTACAGAACAGAAACTTGTCTTAAACAATTATTACCTGAGCAAGTGCCACCATGCTGGCATGAAGTTGTGCAAATAGCTGCAACCAAAAACAACAATCGTCACTCTGACAAAACAACGCTTGACAATACTTTTCTAGATTGTTGC